CTTCGTCGCATTCTGGAAACGTGTAGATCGAGATCTGGTGCTTCTGAATCTCCTGAAGAATCTATAGCAACGACAAACCAATGGCTATATCATCAACATATACATCACCACACAAGCGCGTAGCCGGGGGGGGTCCTGGGGGCCCTAGGACCCCAATCAAAATATAAATCCAAAAAAAAAGTTCACAAATTTCAAAAAATTTCAGACCACCTTGTTACTCGCTCGAGGACCCCCCCCCCCAATCCAAATTCCTGGCTACGCCCTTGTCACCACACATATATTAATAATTACAGTGTATGATCCATCATTCATTCATCATCCTTCATCATTGTCATTCATCCATCAACATATATCACCGTATGTATTTGTAATTACGATATATAATGCATTAACAGTACAGTTCTACTATCAACATATATCGACATACGTATTTATAATTACGGTGTATAATGCCTTAACATCATGGTTCCACTATCAACATATATGCCAAGTGAGATAACGATTTGCTAAATTGCAATTAATTCGGCCATATACGGAAACTCACTTATAGATCAATGATTATATACTTTGATAGTTGTATATTTTATCTTTATGAAATCTTCATTAAAAAAACGATAAAGAGATTGCTCTGCTCTAAATAAATCGAACGTAAATGAGTAAGATTCTGAAAAAAATCGCGTTTGTAATCTATTAATATCTGGGAGAATCAAAGAAATAGAACATTTGCATGTCCTGCTACAAACGGGACCATTTAGAAGAATTTTACCCTGTAGATGGCGCTGAGATGTCGTTCAGCGACTACCACCAGAGTGAGCTACTGTATCAGAGAGAAGACTATCTCCCCATAGAGATGACAACCAGCGTCATTAACAAAGACCACCTGGACCAATATCAAAATCCTATGATCAATAATAACATAAAAATCTTACCTTTTCTTTTAATTTCCTGATTTCACTGGGCGTCAGCGTGTCGGCCTTTGATATCAAGGGCACGATGTTGACCTTGTTGTGAATCCTCTTCATAAATTCGACATCGAGTGGTCGCAACCTAATAATAATGTCAACGCATAATGTCAACGTTGTCGAGGTTGTGATATACAGGGCGAGTACGAGAATTCGTGAGCGAGTTAGCGAATATAGCGAGTTTACACAGATATAATAACAAGATTAAAAATTTAAACATAATACTAAAGAACCTAAAACTACACCGGGTACATATCTGTAGTCCCTGATACGACAACGACCCCATCTGCGTCATTGGGC